AAGCGTTATAATCTTAAACTTACTAATACGGACCGAAAATTAAAGCCGATTTGTTCCGTGAATATTTCTTAGTAATTAAGTAAAATTACATAGAACATAACACTGAACCATATTTCAAAATATTTATTAGAATTTCTAGCATACCATTTATGATTATTTAATATTTGTATATGTACATATACTTGACATAATCTGCGATATTTAGACAAAATTACTACGTAATAAAATTTGACCAACTTCTGAAAAAAAAATTCAAATTTACACTAGAAATTCACAATTATCCAAGTATTGTTGGCAAAACATAATAATTACTAGTAGACGGATTCTTATTTGTCACTTAATTTTAAATAACCCAATTTGATCATTGAAACTTCAAATATTCAAATTTCTACAAAAAAAAAAATCTATTATGTACTTCTAAACGAAATCACATTCTATTTAAAATTTAGAATTCCTTTTTTTAAATTAAATAACTCATTCTATAACTTAAATTGCAACTAATGTTATACCCGTACAAAATATATTTGCAAGGGTATGTTTGCAACTACTCTGTTTGCAACTCTAATAAACACTTAAAAGGTATTAAACTAATTAAAATTCGATTAATTTATGTCAGTTTCTCCCTTCATTTCACCAAAGCCAATTTAGGATCTATGGTTATTATAACACTAAAAAATTTGAATGCGATTGAGGCAGTCGTTCAAATTTGATTTCCCTCACAAGTAACAAGGAACACTGTAATCGGGCCAATATTATTGTATGAAAATAATAATTAATACGGGCATCAAAGAATTAACAAAAATCTACTCTTCCAAGTTCTCATTTTTTTTTACTAAGTTAAAACTGGCTAGATAGAAGTAAAGCAAACATTATAATGTCATTTTTATTGGAAAAGGTAACAAAGCAGCATAGAAAAAAAATTGAAATTTTTCACGTTTTCCACCAAAATTGTCTACATCGTACATTTTTTGTTGTATTTGTTGCATTTTTTTTTTACGTTTCTTATGACAAAACCAAAATATCTCTACATAAAATATTATTTATACACATAGTTACATTATAATATTATGATAAGAGGTAGATGGTAGATGAGAATGAAAGCTATGAATTTCTAGAATATTTTTCAGTAAATATTAAAATTCTTTTATTCCTTTTGACTCTTGGATTCTTTTAAAGCGACATTTGATATTTTTATTTTTGTTATCTTTACCTTTCAATAGTTAAAATAAATGATCTGTGTTGTGTACTTTTTTTTTGTCTATTGTTGTAATACTATTAAAGAATATATTAAAATGCCCTTAAAATTATAGCATTGCATACGACGAAAAATTTCAAATTTTTTTTATAACAACTGCATACTAGATTTAAATATAGTTAGATGTCATATTTTTAAATTTTGTATGGCATTGAGTAGTTTTCCTCTTTTATTTTTTGTTACACGTTTTTTTTTATTAAAATTTTGCGTTATTAAATATTATTTAAATTGATTTTTTCTTCAGATGGCAATGATATAACACGAAATTATTTTTCTATTCATAGAAAATTAAAAAAATAAATTTTATTCTTCTTGCAGACAAAAAACTTGCGGCAAACGCAGTATGGCAAGGAATTTTTCATTTTGTTTTTTTCTCATCTTGTTGTGCATATTAAGAGTTTTCTATAGATAAAAGTGATAGATTAGAAACAAAAGATAATAAAAGTAGTTAGAATACCATTTTTTAAGACTCAGAAATTGAAAGTTGAATAACATTTCATAAGGAAGAAAAGCTTGTGATCTTGAATAAATAAATCTTAAGATTAAAATTGCAAGAAAAAAGATTTCTTTTACGATACACAATATATGAGTAACTAAAAAATGAATCTATTATAGTGAATAAGATTTTCTACTTTAACATAATTAACAAAATGTTATTTTCGAACTATTCAGTAATATAATATATGTATGTATATTACAATTTGGATTATTGCATAGATGATAGCCTCACAGGGCAAGGATCTACATAAATTTTTCTAGAAATAACAACTATAGAATTTGTATATGACATATGCAAAATATGAACATTCTTTTTTTTGGAACTTAAATGAAGAAAGATCTGCTTTATCTTCTTATCAATTAAAATATGTATTAAAATATGTACTCATTACTATATACGCACCTGCAGACCGAATATAAGTTATAAAACATTTATAATTTGTAAATACCATACATACGTACGTATATAAACAAAATATTATTCTGAATTGTGTACGGATGTTTTAAATATTTCCTTACAAAAAATAGTTATAAATCATCTTAGTTATATTTAGATTCCTTTTGCAAAATTCCGACGGCTTAAATGGCATGTTTCCTTCTGGAAAGAAATACAATATGTCATATTTAAATTCCAAAATCTAATAAAAAATATTTTATTTAGCTCCATAAAATTAAAATATTTTATGAAGGTAATCAAAATTTCAATTATATTTTTAATTTATATAATATAGAAATCTTATTACATATATTGTGATAATTAACTATGTAAATACGCATATTTCAAAATATCGTTTAACAATTTCACTTTTTTCCAAATAATAAAAATGAATTAATAAAATTTAATTAAGCAGATGAGACCCAAATAATTGTGTCTTGCGACTTTTAAAACAATTCATAATTTTAAAACATTTGAAATATTTCACTTCTTTGGTCCCCTATACATGCCTTTATGGTTAGTGTCTTACTCTAATAACCTGCATTTCTAGTAACAAATAATAATAATGTAATATTTTCTTAATTTGAAGTGGATCACTTTTAAATTAAGACAAATTTCTTTTACATACATAACAAATATCTTTTAAATTTCATTAAAAGAATTTAAAAGTAATTATGTACCAAGATAAATAGAAAAAAAATACCTACAAAATAAATACCTATAAAATATACTCAGGTGTGCCATTTTTTTAACAAAATATTGAACTTATTATAATATAGAAACTCATCAATTAAAAATAAATGAGAAAATTTAAATAAAAATGAAAAAGAAAACTTTGTTTAATGGTTCGGTAATAAAAACCACTGTCTTTGAATATCCTTATTTCCTTATAATACCCTTAACATTTATTTTAAAAATGAACACTTGTAGATGGGTAGTCTTTGAAAACAAAGGCATGATTAAGAATGAAAATCTATGTATTTAAACTAATTTAATATTATTGCTTTTGTTTCGAAATTTGTTTAAAAATTTGTACAAATTTATTTTACAAAAAATTATTACCTTGGATTTAAAAGTTTTTCTTTGTTTCTCTTTATTTGGACCACAGTTGCTGTACAGAAATATTTCTTGAATTATTTATATGTACTTAGATGCACAGTAAGCACATTATGTAAGTCATGCAACAAGACCGCCAGTAGGTATTGATATTTTTTTATAAAAGAAACAGAAAGTGCTTGCACTACATCATTTTAAAAAAATTTTCTCTTCCTTCTAGATTCTAATCCATTTAATAATTTAATATTTTTCTTAATTTTTTGGTTTTCTTATAAATCTTAATTTTTCCTTAAATTAAGATTGTTGTATCATGAAATAAAATTAAAAATTAAAAATTTGAACTTCTCAATCTATCAGTAAAACAATTATACAAATGCAATAACGTCTGATTTCAATTTGACAGAAATTAAATAAATGCAGTTAAAAAATAGAAACGAAACATCTAATTGCAGGCAAATGTAACTAATGAACAAATGCGGCATGCAATTGTCAAAAATTTCATATTGCCGCTGCGGCATAGCGAAACGTTGTTGCGTGCATTGGGGCCTAATCATAAATAATACCACAAATGCAAAGTACATCAAAAAAATTTGCAATAGAAAAATATTCGCTTACGTTAAAACGGTAAAACAAAAAATTTTTGCCAGCTGAAAACAAACCAAATTTTTCCGAATATAAAATGCCAGTCTATATGAAACCCCGTATCCATATAAAGTATTTACTCCAAAATTTGTTATACATATTAGTTATTTGTCCTGCATAACATATATAATAAATAGTTGAAAAAATATTGTTATTATTTTATAAAAGCGCATGACATAGTCACATATAATTTTTTACCTTTATTAAAATTTCTCTCTCAAAGAGTAAACTCTCAAATTGTGGAAAAAGTTTATTTTCATATATTGTCAATTAACATTGTATAAAAGATAAGGATAAATCTTCGATTGAATGAGAATAAGATGTAAAATTAATTAAAATATAAAACTTTATATGTTATAATATATTAAACTTGCTATACAACGTACCGACATTAACCAAATTAACTACAAAATAATCTAATATTTTAATACATAATATAAACAAATAAGAAATTTAATTTTGATGCTTAAAAAATTGGATTTGAAATGCATTTATACGTAAAATACTTTTAAATAATTGTAAAATAATTGAGAAAACACAAGATTTTAAAAGCAATACAAAGACCCGAAACTTTAATAAATTTTAAATTGGTTACCTTAGAATAATATAAAAAATTCTGTCTTTGAGCGTTTATTTTTTCACCAAGAATTATTATTTAATTTTTTAGCGAGACCTATTAATTTTAACATAGTATACTTGACGTTGTCAAAAAATAACTCAGTAATTTTATAATCGAATTATTATTAAAATATTATAATTCTTCTCTACCTTTGTATGATAATAATACACGTCAACACTGTAATCTTTTGACGTTTTTCAACACAACAAAATTTTTTAATATAAAAGTTTTTTCATTAAACAAAAACAAAACTCACAATTCGAATTCTCTTTCATTTCTTTTTGACGTTTACGTTGTATAACAGTTATTGCGCTAAGAAGAAAACAACAAAAAAGAAAAACAAATAAAAACATTTTATTTAAAAATCCAATAACAATTTTCTGGTTGTTGAAAATTTTTCAATAGTTTTTTTTTTGTCTTGTTAGTTTTGCTTTTGCTATTATTTTTCTGTTTTTTATCTTATTTTTCTTATTTGACATTTGAAATCTTCTTACTCAGTTACTCAGCTTTTAGTCTGGTTATAACCGTTATCGGGAAAAGTTGAATCATTTTGGTGTGGATATTGTGAATTTTTTTAAGTGTTTCCGTTAATATTTATATGGAAATTTTTTTAACCATACATACATATTAACACCAAACATCTATTTTTCAAACAATAGAATAGAAAAAAAAAAAGAGGTATTTGGAGAAGGAAATGAATGGAAGATGCATAGGAAAATTTCCTTCTATTACTTCAAATCAATAAAGAATAATTTTAATAAACTATTTTCTTATATAATAAATTAAATTCTAATGAACATAATATTATAATAAATTTGTATTTGCAATCCAAAAGAAAAAATAATATATTTTTAAGTTAAATGGATTATAAAAGAAAAAACGAAAACAGAAAAAAGTTCGGAAGATTATTTTGTCTGGAAGTATAGAATTATAAAAGAAAAAAAAAAATAAAAATTGAGAAAAGTCATCAATTGTGTTGGGCCGTTGCCGCATTTAACACAGGATATTAAATCTATAATTAAAGTTTGAGAAATTCTGTTTCAATATAAAAAGGTGAAATATTCGTGCAATTTTTTTATGACATTTAGAAAAATTCCCTTCGTGCATAATATATTTTTTTTTTATTTTAAATTTTCATTTTGTCAAAATTTAAAATAATTTAATTATAAAAGTTATATTGAAAATAATTATAAAAGTTTTGTTATTTTATTAAAATAAATAGTGATTTTCTTGAATTATTTTGTATACATTATTGTCGTCATAACAAATACATGGATAACTAGAATTAAAAAAAAAAAAACAAAAACAACAAATTTCAAATTAAAATTAAATACGAAGAAAACATAATAAAAATAAGTAAAATAAAAACAAAAAAAAAATTGTTATTTTCATATTGCTTTCCTTTTTATACACATGTAAAACAGGACATGGTGAAATAAATATGTATACATTTATTCGTTTGCATTTTGTTGTTTTTTTTTTTATTTTGAATTGAATTTTTGGGAAAACATTACATTCATCTCTCTTTATCCTGCAGTATTTTTATTGGATTTTTGGAATTCAAATTGTGTCCTATAAGATTTTTTTTTTTTTCTTCTATGAACAAAATTTTCTTGGAATCGGGTTTTGTTTTTTTTTTTATTCTGTTTTTACTGTTTTCTCTCATTTTGCTTTTATATTGTTTGGTGCTGTGCTATTATTTTTTATGATTTTCTGTTTTTTTTTTTTTGTTATTTTCTAATTTTTATAACAGTTTCATTATAAATATTACTCTACTAATCTTCAACATTCACGTTCTTCTTGTTAAAGGGAAAAAAAAAGTTACATTCGCTTCGCGTCTAAATTGAATTGAATTGCATATTGTAAAACAAAAAAAGTTTTCTGAAAAAATATTAATAAAAATTAAATAAGTGAAAAAGAAAAATAATTTTTAAAATTTATTTAAAACTTGAATTCTTAAAAATGTTTTAAAATAAATCAGTGTTTAATAAAAATACATAGTTGAATATAAAAAAGAAAAAAAAGTGAATAAGAATTAAAATAAAAACAAAATAAAAAGTAAAGAGGTGAATTTCAATTTTATACATAAGTTCTGATTCTCTCTTTCTCTCTATTATTTTGACTTGCCTTCTTTCATTAAAGAAGAAAAATAACAAAAATAACAACAACAAAATATACAACACACAACGAACGATTTTGAAGTGTGGTGAATTTTATGAAAGAAAAAAAATATAAGTTAAAATTTTATAAAAGAAGTAAGAAGCATTAAATTCAGTTCTTATTAAAATTTAAATAAAAATAATTATTATATTATATTTTTTAATTTACTTTCATAAATATTATAAATTAATTATTAAATTATAATTAAAAAAATTTGCAAAGGAATATTTGGATATACTCACAAGTAGGCTACATATAATAAATAATCAAAATAAAAAGTAATCAAAAAGGAAAGAAATATTCGAAGCAAATCTCGTTTTTTTGGGAATAATAAATAAAAGACAATTTTCGTACAGCGTCTGGAATATTCATAAAAATTTAGATTGGTAAGAATTTTATTTTATATTAGAAATTGTGTTTCAATATAAATTTTCTTTTGTATGGTTGGCGAAATTTGTACGTATATATGTAATATGTATGTCGGTATGTAAGAACAATATTTTAAATAAGTGGTTAAAAAAAATTTTATTAGTAAAATTTAATTAGAATGCCGGCTAACTGTAAAGTAAGAGAATTTCAATTTATGTATGTATGTATGTATGTATATATGCATGTACTTAATATACTACTAATATAGTGGGTATCTAATATACTACATACATACATACAGTGTCAAAAAGTCCTTAAAATATGTCACATGGTTTTTGAAAAATATTACAAATTTCAAAAGTTCTTACATATACTACCTATGTATATACAAAATAGGCACTATAAGCATACACTAGAAACAATATACATATTATAATATGTTTAGTAGGTTTTCCTAAGAAATTAAAAAATTAAAGTGAATAAATTTACAATTGCCTTAGATTGAAAATAATATTTCTAATAAAGCTGTAAAGAATGAGATTTTATTTTTAGTTATTGTGAATATTATTTTTAGGTAATTTTTATGAAATTGGTAAAATTGGATCTATAGACCAATCTATGCTACTATCATTAACTTATATCGTACTTAATTCATTTTTGTTAAAGGTTTTGAATTTTCCAATTAAATTGTAAAGATGGACGAAGTAAAATATTGGCATTAATAAAATTTTTATAATTGGCATACATATTATATGTTAAATTAAAATAGCTGGATAGGTATGGACTAAATATCTACATATGTACATATATTATTTTATTGTAAGATGTACATATTAAGTTTTCTTGAAATCAAATGAACTGTATCAAATTGTCACAGAATATAAATTAAATTCATTTAGTTTAAACTTTTCTACCTGCCTTTAGAAATTTAGATTTAAAAATTAAGAAATATGTAGGTTTTTATCAAATCTGACATTAGACTTAGAAAGTCTCATTACAGAATTCAATATTGAGTTTAGAAATTATGAGTTTTATTCAACACTGTGATATAAATATTACTTCTATGATGTAATTATTATATGTTTGTGTTGAACACCTAATAAGTTCATATTACCTTGCTTATTTTACTATGCTTATTTGTGCTAACGGCGAAAAAAAAATTAAGTAGCCCCACTTTATGTTCAAAGTTATTTCAGTTATATTGACTTAATTCATAATTTATGAATTTTTAAATACTTATTACAATTCGAGTTTTATACTTACAGATTTAATAATTAATACTTAATTTGTACTAGATTCTAAAAGAGGGCGTTTTCAAAAAAATTACATTTTGATCCTTTAAAAATTAAAAAATATCAAAATATTTAAATTAAATTTAAATTTAATAATTTTTTTACCTCGTTAAAGGGATTTCTTTGAGCTACTTCTATCTAAAACTAGTTTCAAATGTTTAAACTTATAAGAAAATTTATATTGAATATTTAAAAATTAGAAAAATATATTAGAACAAAGTTTATTTTAAAAATTTACCAAAAGTTTACTCTTAATCAATTTTTTTCTTTTTCTTTTTCAGACAACTTTCATAATAATTCCTCAATTCTATAAAATAAAATAATTAAAATTGTTCAATACAAAATTATTTTTTTCCTTACAATCTCTCTATGGATTAATAAAATTTGGATGGATTTAAAAATATATTTAATATTTAAAATTTAAAAATAAAAAAAGGAAAATAGTGGATAATTAAATTTATATATGAATATTTCAATTTATGAATTCAATTTAATGTTCAACAAAATTTCTTAATATTTTATAAAATAATTAAAAAAAAAAGAAAAACAAATTTATATGTAGTCGTAAAATCCTGAAATAAGTATATAAATAAAAAGTGTGTATAAATACAATAAATTTCTTAAAATAAGAAGTACACAATTAATTAAATAAGTAATAAAAATTGAGTTTATTTAATTTAAACACTTTATAAATAAAATAATATTATATAAATTCATTTACAAATATAATATATTTGTGCACAAGTATAGAAATATAAAAGAAAAATAAGTACGACATAATATTTTATTTTGTAATAATATAGTCAAAATTAGTTAAGAACTAAGTATATTAAAATAAAGAAAAAGTAATAAATAAAAGGCATAAAATTAAAAATAATCAAAAAAAAAAAGGAAAATATTTTATAATCGCCGTTTCATTTATTGTATAAATAAATAAATTGCGAAAATTTAATTAAAATCTCATAAAAATAATTTAAAAGTGAAATTTATTTGAAAATTTTCCAAAAAATTTAAAAAAAAGAAAAAAAATCTCGCAATTTTATGCATTCAAATTAAAATTTACAAATTTAAAAATAATAAATTTTATGTATTTAATTACACTAGTGTATTTAAGTATATAAAATTTTTTAATAATTTCTTGTAAGAAAAATAATATTATTCTTAATAATTAAAATTTATAATTATATCTATAATATATATACATACATATTTTAAATGTATTTCTAATTTTATAATATTATTAATTTCAAATTAAAATTTTAAAAAATTTTGTGAAAAAAAAAAATAAAAAAAAAAGTTAAAAGTAAAATAATAATAAGAAAAAAAATTAAACATAAATAAGAGTGCAAATTTTATTTTAATATTTGAAGAAAAAATATAAAAATTAAATTAAAATAAAATATTTTAGTTTTCTTAAAATAAAAAATCAAATTTATTTCTAATTAATATTTATATATATGTATATTAATATATGAATGCATATATATGTGAATAATATTTCTTAAATATTAGAAATATACAAAAATAAATAAATCTACAAAATAAAAATAAATAAAATTTTTTTTTTTTTTATAAAAATTTTTTAATAAAATTAATCAAAATTAATCACCACTACAAAATGTTATTTGAAAATCCAGCTGTTGCTGCTAAATTACCATTTCCATATAATGTGCCACCGCCGATACAAGCTGCGGCTGCTGTTCCAAATATCAGGTATCTATATGTTGTTAAAATCATCTTATTAATATAATATTATTAAAACATATTTTTAAAATATACCAATATTAATTAATTCCGATTTATATTTTTTGGGATTAATTAGAAAGTTATGTTAAAAGAATAGTTTTTTAAGATACCTGCATACTGTTATATCGTTGATTATGCAATATTAAGTAAAAACAAACAATAAATTTCAATTTATATGCTAATGTGAAAATAAAACTCTCATGCGGTTGTAATTGAGGTGAAGATGTAAAGGTACTCAAATTTTAAATGATCAAACTGATAACTTACTTTGTAAATTGAAATTATCATGTTTAACGGTATCAGTACCTGACTTTTTAAAAAATTAAGATGTTAAATATAAATAAATCACTAAGGTCCAATATTTACCATAGTTTTTTAATATCTTTTCCAATTTCCGAATAATAAACAAAATTTAAAAATCTAATTGAATCGTTCCCGTATTGTGGCCCTATTCCTAATTATTTCAAAAAATTACTGTCAAAATTGATTTTAAATAATTTATGAATTGTAAATTAATGTTTGTATACAAACAATATGATTTTTTTTTTCTGACAGAATGACCGATTTAAATTAAATATGAAAATTATAAGTAGAAGAAAAAAGAACTTTTGAAAAGATCTTTAAGGTGAACCGTCAATATTTAAATTTTTTTTTTTGTACAGACAAGAGACAAGCAACAAATTTGTATGTATATATATATATATTTATTCATGTACATATAATTTCATCATAATTATTACAGTCGCAGTGTTGCTTTTATTAATCTATTTTTTCTCTTGAAAATGCTTGTAAACGTTTAAAAAAGATGCCCATAAAATGCAGATTAAAATTTTTTTTTAATGGTAATTTTTGTATTTTTATTTTTTTTTTTTTTTCATTTTTTGTTTCAATTTTTGTTTTGTTTGTGTGCTTTTTTTTTTGTAAGTTATTCATTTTAATTTTTTTTTCATTTAAGTTTTTATCATTTCATTTTTATTTTTCTTACCTTTTTTTTATCAAAAATTTTAAGTTTGCATCGTTTTGTGTTCTTTTTGGTTTAAATTTGGTTTTTAATGGGTATACAAAAAAAAAAAAACAAGAAAAAAACTTAAGTATAGGTAAGTAAAGATATTTTTGTTTTACTGTTGCGTTGCCTTGTTACTGTTGCCTTAAAAATAAAGAGAAGCAAAAGTAAAAAAGAGAAAAAAAAAATTAAATTTTGTTGGTCAAAAAATTAAAATCAGGTGGTTTTGGCTTTATTAAGTTTTTTTTTTTTTTTTGTTACCTTTTAATGAATTATAAGTATGTGTGTATGTAGGAACTGTTTAAATAGACATACAAATATTATAATGAAGCATACTTAATAACTAAGTAAAATGTTGTTCTCTTTTGAGAAGAATATTCATAAATAATTATGGTTAAAATATTTAAATGGTCAGACGTCAGAGATTTTTTGGGGGAAAAAAAACACAAAAACAAAAAACATCACCATTTTTATATCTAGTCTTATTTTTTTTAAATTTTTTTTGGGGTCAGTTTTTTTTTTTTATTTTGGACTCTCTTTACAGTTTATTTTGTTTCTATTAGTTTTTTTTTTTTTTGCTATACATGATGTGGCGGCTAGGTTATGATGACTATGACGGCGTCGGTAGTTTGCAAGTATTTGACGCGGTCTTCTCTATTGCAAGTGTACATACAACAATAACATTACCTATTTTTCTTTTTTTTTTCTATTTTCCTTCATGTTTTTCTCATTTCATTGTTTGTAATTTTAATAGAAAATCAAAAGAAAAAAACAATTATATTGATGGCGGCGGGTTTGAAGAAAATTTGAACGAAAAATGATTTTATATAGGCAAAATGAAAACTATCTTTTTTTTTGATTATTTTGTTCAGTAAATTTTTTTTTTTAGATTTGTTATGGTTTAATTGGTAAAAGCAAAAACAAAACACCATAATTATTTTGCTTAAAGCGTGTGCTTTTATTTTTGAAAAAATTCGTGAATTAAATTTATTTTTTTTTTGTCTTAAACACTTTTAAAATTTCTTTTGTTATTTTTTTAAGTATATGGCTATACATATATACCCGTACAAATATTAGTAGGTAAGCAAAAGAGATTTACTGATCTACTTATATAGGTTTCCGATTTTTGGTCTTATTTTTGAGATAACAACTTGGTATTTACTTGGGTAGCAAATCAACAACAATACTATAAATATTTAAGTTTAAGTAGAAAAATACAAAGAAACTTATAAAAAATATCGGCCCAAATACGAAAACTAGTTGTAAAACAAGAAATTTCAAAAAAAAGGCACAAAATTTTTACTTTCATTTTTTTTTCTGTTTTAATTTATTTAAAAAAATTTTTATATTTTAATTCCATAATGATTTCAGTTTTTCACATTTTACATCGTATTTTTATTTAATTTTTTTGAAAGAAAGCGAATTTCGAATATTTAGTTTTTTTTTGGGTAGCAAAATTTATTCATGTTCCTTTTAAAGAGAAATACAAAAAAAAAAAAAAACCAAAAACAATCTTCCATTTTTATAGTTAACAGTAACATACTGTTAATTTAAATACTTATTTTGATTTAAAATGAATAATTAAGGAAATTTAATGAAAGTGAATGTCGGTATGAGAATAAAATTAAAAAATGTGGGAATAATGTATGCATGTATGTGTTATTGGGTTTTTTGGACAAAAAAAAACAATTTGAATTTTCATCAGTGTTTCAGTAGTGTTATGGCATTCAAACAAATATTATAATTCTAATATGGAAGCAGTTGAGAGCAAAAGGAACCAAATCAACAATTTTTAAAATTTTATATCGTAAAACAAAATTTATTCGATATTGTCCGAAAAAAAAACCAAATAACATTTTTAAACAAACAAATAGTTAATAGTGAGATTTTCTTAGTTAAAATTTTTAATTAAAATAACCAAAAGGTTAGTAATCATTGAGACACTTAAAAACTATTCTTAACATAAAACGAAATTCTGCTTAATTTTTAATATTTTCTTTGATTAAATTTACGGGTTGCCTTCACTGTATAATACTCAAATTACATTTTTACGAATGAAATAAAGTTCTTATGTTTTAATTTTGTATTATTGCTTAGATACGTCGGCAGTAACTATTCAGCTTATCTATTCCTATTAATTCAAACAATAAATATCACAAGTTATTAATAATCCTAATATTTTTAACATTAATTAAACAGAATGGAAAACATTCATTAATCCAAAAGCACTTTAGAATTAAATTTTTTATATTATCTATATTCTGTCTACAAAAAACAATATTCTAGATTTTGTTGCCTTTGAAAATGTTGCAAATCTTTTATTCTTTAACTTACAATTTTTTTAAATCGAAAAGCGGAATTTGATGCCATACAATTTTAATGTGTCACTCACATAATTTTCACTCTGTTTCCACTTACTTACTAATACATTTTAGTTACTTACTTAGTTACTAACTCAAATACAAAATATATATATATGAATATGTTTACCTACATAAGTAATTAGTTATGAAAATTTTTATAGCTACGCTAAGTTCAAAATGCAATTTAAGCAATTTGTTTGAAAGTATTTATTTTGAAAAATAAAAAATCTTTGATTGTCATTTTTATTTTCTTTAGAATTTTTAACATTTGATAGCATAAAATGCAATAAAGCTTAAGTATAATTTCAAATTAATTCAAGTACCTCTACATACATTTATGTACACAATTCAATATATTGAAATTGAACACTCGTGTTTATATTTTTATAAGTATGTACATAAATATCTTTAGATATTTTATATATATGCATTATTTAGGATGATTTATTTTTCTATTTTGTCATATAAAACTTTTATTTACTTA